GCTTGACATAAGTATCAAAACAGAAATAAGAGAGAAAGCTCAGAGAATGGAAAATTAGGCAAGTTAAATATTTTTTTAAAGCGCTTTTTCTAGATCTTTGACCTTACCCTCAAAATAACAATAGCATGCATTTAGGTTAAACAGTCTCTAACACTCTTACTCCTAAATAAGGTACTCAAACTATAAATAGCACCATAGGCTCTTTCAGCACTGATTACAGCTAGCTGAGTAAATTCTGATGGGGGAAAAAATAAGAGAATGCCAGTTGGTCAAACTAGTATTTCTGAAGACTCCTAGGATGATTGCATGTTCATGGGAATGCAGGCAGAGAGCTCCTGTGGAAGCCTGGATGCTCCCTGCTAGCTCATTGGGTGGGAATTTGGTGTTCCTTGCCAGTCAGCTCAGGGCGAGAGGCTCCAAGCTCACAGAGCTTCTTGGGAGGTGTGTTGCACTTTTCAAATTGATTTTCAATAGAAATTCTGTTATTAAAGATTAATTACTTCAAGGTGCATTATGTTTTAGCTCTCTGAAATAGTTAGAAATTATGTTGTATGTTGTAAAGGCATCTCTTTAGGCAAGAATTCAAAGTATTCCAGAAGTTGTACTTGAGAAACTGGCAGTATTACACACCGCAGTATGTCTTACGGATATAAAATTTAACATGTCCAAAGAAAAAGATGATAAGCATATTGGGAAAATGAAGAGGGCCCAAAATATTCCAGTAATACTACACAGGCAAAATTTTGGAGGCAAGTGATATAAAAATCAAATTCTCTGCTTATTTCCTGTGGAGGTAACTACACTATTTTTACAAATTGGAAGTTGACAAGAAAGATGGATTATACATGGGTAAGAGACTTCATTAAATAACAGTGAAAGCTTAAAGATGTTGTTTTGGAAATACTAGAAATCTCGTCTGATCTTTCTGTGAAGGTAAAAGACATAGGTAATTTGGCCTAGACCTATAAGCCTGCTAGCAACTTCTTTCTTGCACATTTTAACTCAAATCAGTCATTAAATTCCATCAGCCATGTAATTTCTCCTAGGAAATATTGCAAGAATAACAAACATGCCCTCAGAGGTGTTTTCCTAACCTCAGTCCCAACCTTTCCCTGATTTTTTTTTTTTTTTTAAACATTAAGCAACACAATTAAAATGTAAGTTAGCTGGGACTATGTTCATGTCATTACAAACTGCTATAAACTATGCAAAAGAGCTAGCATTAAATTTACTTAGAAATAAATAATTTCTCCATTACAAGATATACTGTTAGTGGATAAAGCCATAATACGCAACCATCCTTATGACCCCAAGCGTCTCATCTAGTTTTCTTCTAGCTATTATTTACAGTAAGGGTTCTTAAACCTATTTGATAATATTTTTATTAAATTATTGCAGTGACATACAACTTGTCATCTGGGTCACCCATTTCCGATCCATACTTTTATTTTTGTATTTTGTATAAAAACAGCTGTATAGATCCAGATCCAAAATCTGTTCAGCCCGATGTCCTTTTACCCTAAAAGCAGCCAACAGTGAATGCCTACAGATAAAAGCAGAAGTGATACAGGGGTACCTCCCTGCTAGACCTCTCCAGATTCCAGCGAAGTGTAACATGATGAGCTGCTAGCTAATCAAGCTAACAACTAGCTTTATTGTTCTAAAATAAAAGCCCTTTTTCGGTTAAAGCTGTAGGAAAGGGAGCCTAGATAGTCTTTTCTTGTTGGCTCAGATAACTATAACAAAATCTTGCAAATAACTTAAATAGGATTAAGTTTCCCTCTCCTTCATGACCTCCAGCCTTTTGTTTCTTCACCTTCATGCAATCTGCTGCACATCGACAGCATCAATGAAACCACAAAGAAATCTGAATTAAAGAGGCAATTTAAAAGTTATTTTCAAGGCTTCTCCCCCCAGTGTTGGCTGTACAGTGGAGTCGCTCAGACCCCCCTGTAAGTACAGCTCTGCTGCTGAGCCCTGGTATAGGGACAGAAATAGAAGGCTGAGGAACAGGGACAGTTTAATCTGATACAGCTGCTCAGAAAAACCTGGTTTGTATCTCCACTATGAAGAAAGTCGTTGGTATGAAGGGGGATTTAACACAAGAGTCCAGCTTTTGAATAGTACACATTGTACTAAATGGTATGATTACAATTTTCTATTGCAAGTAGTTAAGTGATACTCATTTCTCCACAACAAGTTTTTTGAAAGATAAAGCTCAGACCCTGGCATTTTAAATCTGAATCACATCAGCAGGAAAACAGGATGGGTTAACTCAATACAGTCATTCAGCTTGCTCTCAGTTTCTATCAGCTGGGAGTCAAAGAGATGAAGGAAACTACACTCTAGCTTTACAAAAATATTAAATATTTCCAAATAGCTGGCACGTATTTGCCACATACTCCCAGTCTGATAATCACTATCTTTGAATAATTTTACTGATATGTTTTCTCAAGCTTGCTTGGAAACACATTCTGCCTATTTTTTAGAGGGCATACTGCATTCAGTGCAAAATTTTTACCTGTCAGAAAATGCAGCTAAATTGATCTAACATGACAAGTCATCTTTGCTGCTAATCACCTATTTATTATTCAGGTCCTAGTTGGTTACATGGATTTTTTTAGTACTTGATTTTAAGGTGCTGCCTTGGCTTTCCCCTCTGTGAAGACATACATTGTTTGAAAGACAAAAGCAAATACTGCTCATCATCTGTGACCACTAATGGCTCTACCTTTGCTTTGGAAACTTCTCTAGGCGAGAAGTTTCATGGTGAATTTTTCATCAGGCGGATCTGAAAACTCTAGATTCTTTCAACATGCTACTCATGACAAAGATCTCCTCATAATCTAGTTTTCAGAAACACTACCCTCTAGTCTTTAAAAGACAACATATTTGACAGGTAAAAACAAAACCAGTAGAACACTCATCAGTAGGTTCATACTTTAAAAGTAAAACAGAGTTTAAGATCTGACATATTCTCTAGTCAAGAATACTCAGTTTGTATAAAAATTCTTTGGTGGGAAACAGAGTAGGGAAGCTGGAAGATAAAACCTGAAAACGCAAAAGCCCTTTGTTGTGAATTCAGATAGCTCCTTCTCCATCAAACACAAAAGTTACACAATGAGGAAAAAATGATTACAAGTCAGCTAAAGAAATGAGTGATTATAGAAGCTGAAAGCTCTTCTCATGGTCTGTGTTCACAGAACAAGGCCTGTTTTATTTTTCTTAAAGTTTAGATAAGTTTAATGGGTTGAGATGTAGTCCAGCACAGAACATCATGAATGCAAACAAGTCTGCTCCAGAAATATCCAGGTCTACTCCAGTCCCTTGAAGGCCTTCAGATTCTACCACAGATTTTATTACATGGTTAAGATTACTCATATCACTGGTAGAAGTCATAACACAATATTTTATATTCATATTTTATAGAAATAACTACGATGGTTCACTTTGCAAAAGGAAGCAGTAGCAAGTATCGTGCTGTCATCCTGCCCCAGACCAAAATAAATTACTTTGTCCATGCATCTTTCCTTCTGCCTGGAAAGGTCAGGAAGAAAAAGGAGGAACAGAAGACAGGAGATAAAGTACAGGTTAACACAGGGGGAAGAAGTACAAATTCCTTTGATTTCTTAACATAGCATTATGCTCTGGTTTCCCACCCTCACTTAAGTTACAAAAGCAGTAGATGATTTTCTGTACAACCTCAGCCTACTTTATTTCAGGATCTGCAGGGCCAACAGTATTTTGAAATACAAGACAGCTGGAAAGAGTTTTCAAAGGTTCAAGATACAAACAAGCACAGAAAATCCCTACAGTGAAGGGAAGAAAATAGCATTAGAAAAAGAAGAGATCATATTAGCATATTTCCTCAGTAACCCACTGACTAAAGAACACAAAATCTCAACAGTAGTCTCATCCCATATTTACTTCCACATTCTTCCCAAAACATCAAGAAAACAGCAATTTCTTCTCATTCTCTTATATTCCTGCAGCTGCCATTTGGAAAAAAAATGCAGAGCTCGCCTCTGCTGCACAGCACCTCTGTTGTTCTTGTATCATACTAGGAAATTCTTCCACTTGTGTACTGTTATTTAAATATAAATAACAAAATATAATAAGTTTGAATAATAATCTTTATTTCTTTATTAGTTTATTTGTAAAAGGTACACTGTAATCCTGAGCTACTGCTTTTATACATTTAGCATCATACAAAGACAGATCATTTACAGTTTGATCATTTACATTTATTGTGCTCCAAAATTCTTATCTGAGTATAATTTTTTTTCCTAGCAGGAACATAGATAATTTAAATTACATGTATCCCTGAAACATCCACATTAATTTACCCATCTGACCCCATTATCTAAATTACTACAGTCTTCTAAACCACTCAGGATATTCCTTCCAAATTTAGCAAAAACTTGTTTAAAACTATAAAGATGGGCAGTGCAAGAACTGGTCCCTCAATCCTTTGTGAATACATCATTAGAAAAAGACTTTCTGTTTCCGTATTCTCTTAGCAAGTCAGTGCTAAATTGACTAGATACACTTTGATGGAATGATCCAATAGCTTACTCATTTTATTATTACAGCAGTTAATGTGAATTTACAGTGTCTCCCTTTGCAGTGACCAGCGCAGAACTCTCCCAAGGAGGGAAGGTCTGATGTGATCAGAGGAAAGTAAGAGGCAACCCACCACCACCCTATTGTCACCTACATGACACTGAAGTATTATGAAACAAGTCATATGAAATGCTTCCCTTAGACCCTGTAAAGGAACTTGTATGAATAACCAGAGTTAAGTTCCATAGTCCGAGCATGGCTTTTAGGATTTGCCAGTTACAATTAAACAAAAAACAATCCCAAATCAGAAAAAAAAAAAAAAACAAAACCAAAAAACAAACCCCACCCAAACACCTAAGTCCCAGGATCCTTGAGAAGAAAGCATTTATCCTAACTGAAATCCAATCCTGGATAAATGGAAATTTAATTGGGCTACCAAAGTAGGATCTCTATACCTGAAAAAAATCTCAAAACATACAGCGTTTACAAATGTCTCTCTAGCAACAGTGTCAGTCTTTTGAAGTACACTCGTCACTTTCACTTCCTGAATAAGGTCACTACAATCTTAGGCAAAAGATACAGTAAGCAGTTCAAGCAAAATGCTTATTGCTTAGCTTTGAAAGCAAGCCACTTTAATGTAATTTTAGTTAAAATGTTAAGTATAAACGTGAAGCTACTGTAGAAACACTTATAAACACTCTTGCTCTTGAATTCTTACTGATCATCTAGAAAAATGGCAGACGGATTTTAACATAAAGGAAATGTAAAACTTAATACTGTCTTTTGAAGTAAAATTCAACACCTATAAAGACAGAATTATGAACATGTAAACACAGCTTTAGTATTCAGAACTAGGGAATCTAGCAGCAAAACAAACTATTTGCATATTATGTAGTGCAATGAACATTTGTTCTTAGAGACCCCCAGTCTTAAAACTACTTTGAACAGAATGGAATCCTTACAGGAAAGGTTTTAAAAGTGTCCAAGATGTAATATCCAGAAGTACTAGATGTTCATCCGCTATCCTCTAACAACTTCTCTATGCAAAACTGTGCTCTGGATAGCTGACTTTAATGGCTCCCCAGTAGCAGGCGCGGATGAGGCAGATTAAACCCAGGAGATAAGCGATAGCCCAGGAAACGTACGTCGCATGAAATCGTCTTGCAAAATCCTGTGTACCAACCTAAAAGGAGAGAGCAACAGGGTCAAACATACAGCACTATCTGCTCTCTAGGGAAGAACAAGTTACATTAAGGAGAAGCATTTTGGCACCTTTTACTCTGACACAGGTAAATCACGTAGCTTAATTTTATACAATCACAGGATAACTGAGCTTGGAAGGAACATCAGGAGTTCTCTCGTGCCAACTTCCCTGTCACTGCAGGGTCAGCTCTAAGGTCAGACCAAGTTGCTCAGAGTTTTAATGCAGCTGGGTGCCAAAAAAGCTCCAAGGATGGAAGCTACACTAGCCTCTGAGCCCAGCTCATAGTGAAGTGTTTTCATCATTTTCAAACCCAGTAAGGCTGTTAAAAAAGACTAAATCTGTCATTGTTCGTATTTCTGGCTGTCCCTGTTTTGACTAGGGAAACTGGGAAATCCTTCGTAACTCATTTCAACTCCAACAGAAACAAATCATTCAGGTTACAACACAAGTTAGAGGTATGAGAATCAGACATACAAATTCAACTGCAGGCATCTGCTCATAGGTACTTTTCTGGGACTGCCAAGTAGAAAGTTGGTGCTGGTAACCAGTACCAGACACTTGAGAGCCAAGGAAGCCAGACTGTTTTTTCTCTATTATTCAGAAAACTACATGAGCCTTTTAATTTGTAAATAACTTATCTGGTTTTACTCCTTATAACTTGTACAAATTATAAAGCCATATAAATGCTTCTCGCTTTTGGAATCCCATTCATCTCCACTGCAGTAGAACCTACAGTCCTGGCTATAGAGCAGTATGTATTTCTGGAAACCTGCAAGTTTTAAAAGCCTAGCAAGATGTTCCAGTATTTCTACAGTGAAGTAAAACAATTTTTCATAAAACTGAAGTCTTGAGAGAGATAAGAGTCACTTTTAATATTGGGAAGAGTAGACTCTGAAAGTACTAGAACACTTTTTTGGGGAACACTTAATTTTTCTAGCTAAACTAGATTAAGCCCATGTTTTTAATAAAAGTGACAAACCCTACACAATCTTAGGAGGTTTTACTCAAATGGTGGGGAAAGAAGATCTGGTCAGCCAAGAGAGCTCCTTTGTACACCCGCACCCCCCCCAGTTGCAAGTGTACCACAGCCCGTCACTCACAGTTAACCCCACGCCAATGAAGATGCAAATCATTCCAATTGTAATATATGCACAGCAGCGTCTCCGTGGCAGTGCACTTCCAACAGAAGAACTGTTAGGAAATAAATGGCATTTTAAATTAAAAAACAAACAACCCCCCCTGCATAAACAGTAACTGTTCAGTCTAAAAGGGGAAAGGGGAGAGAATTGCAATGCATATATGCCATCTTAAGTTTATCAAGTTGTAGGCAAAGTCTACAATTATACCACGCAGTAAAAGACATAGTCCACATTTGGTTTAAAAGGAAGTTACAGCCGAGGATTATCTAGTGTCTAAAAATCTAGGTATTTACAACAAAGACAGTGGTGCCACACCCACCATTTGAGTGCGTCTACCTCCTATATCCACGGTGCACCCAAATAAGTTACTTTGGACTGCAAAGCCCAAGTTTCCTTTGCAGTTTCCGTGTAGGTTGTCAGACACCCTTTACTCAATACAGCAATATGCAGCTCTAATACATTCACTCTATCTAAGTAACTGGAAATCACTTCTACAACCCCTAAATGTCATTAAGAATAACAACCTATATAATTCACTCAATACTGTTGAGTGGCCAAACTATTTTTTGAAAGTAAAAACCCAGAGTATTTTAGTCACGAACATGAAAAATTTTTCAAAGACTGAAATTCTTTAGACACATTTAAGTCAATTTTAGTAACTTCAAAAAAATGACAAGTTTTTTTTACTTTCCAATTTTCTTTTAGATTCCTACTACAAGTTACATGAGCTGTACAAATCACTGCTGACAACCAAGGTAAACAAATCCCCAGGATGTTCTGTCACTCATAATCTAGACTATGAACTCCAAGGCAGACAGCTTTGTCTCCACCTGCATTAAGCAGGTAGATCATTTGTCTCTGCTGCATTAAGCTGTTACAGTGCTTCAGTCAAACAGAATATAAAATGCAAATAAAACATTACACTCTTTACTATAGGTTAGAAAAATTATTGCAGAAGCTCAGCATTCTTTAGCAAATAGATCTGGAGTCACACGTTTGCAACCACGTACAGCTATACTAATGAGGAAAATAGGAACAAGTTTTAATACTATTGAAACCCAGTGAACACACAGGTCCATTGAAAGGACTAGGGAGGCAAAGGTGCTTTCATAAAACATGTACCATCCATCTTGGAGGCAGTTTTGAAGCATCCTGAAGCATGCTACTGTTAGTCAAGTGCTTCATCCCATTCTGGGAGATCAACAGGCCTTTGGAAATACTGGGATGCCTGTACTTGGTGTTCAAAGATGTAAGGGAAAGTAATTTCACCTCATGATAGTTCAACATATTCAAGATAAACGTGTAGCAAAAGAAAAAACTGCTGAACTACTGAAGTAGCACATCTGTCATATGACTGACCAAATTTCTGGCTCCAGTTAATTAACCACATAGTAAGGCCTCATATGCTTAGCATGTGACTAAAGGGGTTTTTTTAAGCATTCATCTTAGAAAGCCTTCAAATAGACTGGTCTAAGCAGCTTTACTCCAATATGATTTCTTTACAAGGAATTTGCAAAATGCTCCAAGGGGGAAAAAAAATCCAAACCACCACAACCACCCACAGTCCTCAAGCCAACGTGCTGAGCTTCATCCTGCAGGACAAGGTTTGGAAGCAGAGACTACTCAGCAGTCATTTGTTACACATTTTTCAGAAGAGGAAATTTCCAGGTGAAATTACTCCTTATAGAAAGCCTCACTATACACACTTGGGCTGGGATTGAGGGGTGTGATTAGGGTGGGAGAATTCCCAATTGGGGAATTAATGCTATCTTCCCCCCCTCCCCCAAATTCCCAAAAGCCACCCTAAATACCTCTACACCCATTCTAGAAGAGGGAAATGTCTGATTCCTAGTTACACAAGGAAAAAACAAAAAAGAAAAAAACAAATTTTTATAAAAGGGGACAGAGAGGAGACTTTTTCAACAGCTGAACTGATGAGCACTGAACTTGCCAAAATGACCTTAGGTTCTCTCCTTTGCAGGATTTCCTGGCTATGTACTCAGAAAGTTAATTCCATTACAGAGCTGGATATCTTGAGATAAGCTGGTGAAAGTGTCATGTTCAATACACCTAAAACACACATGGTATTTACTGCACTGTGCATTTCACACAGAGACAAAGTTCATTTGGGGAAAGAGACCTTCACTTTCAGAAGACTTGAGACCTTTGGTTTTGTGATCGTAATATTTCAGGTACCACGTGTGTTTTCCATCCGTATTTCTCCCAAGCTCTGTCCCCTCCTACCCAATAAGAAAGGCTGGAGGAGAAACCATCACCTCATATACTGAAAACAGGAAATGTGAAGAATATCTTAACTGCCTTTCTCTTCCCATAGAAAGCAAAAAGGAAATAAATATACTAAGTTTCTACAGTCACTGTTTTGCCAATGACCAGGCCAAACAGGAACGACACAACCAGCATGAAGAGAATCCAATACGCAGACTGTACTGTAGACAGAAATGTTACTATATGAATGACCACCGGGGGTACAAACAGGTCAACAAGCTCATACATGATCAACACCACCCCCAACGATCCCACAAAGGATGCAACTCGGCCCACAACAGGTGGTACAAACAGTGAACCAAGGTTTCCCGTAGTTGGCATGGGAAACAGCCAGACCAGCAAGTTAAAGACATAAGAGAAAGGTGCCCACATGGCAACTCTCACCCGATCAGCCCACGTTCGCAAAGGTCTAAACAGACCAGGGCCCAGCTCCAGGGAGAGTCAGGAGGTCTGCCCTGAACCAGGAAGCTCTGGGGAGTGCACCCCACAGACAGACACTCCTGACTCCCTGCAAGTGGTCCTGGCTTTTATCCCCAAGCAGACACCTGACCTTTGTCAACTCAGTGCGGGACCCCTGGGGCTCATTTCCCTTATGGCTCTCCCTGCAGGGCCGGCCGCACCCTGGGGGGAAGCCATAAGGCAAACTCACCTCCTCTGTATGAAGGGCTGTGGGAATCACCCATATGTCAACCTTAATTCAGGGCTCAGGGTTCAGACCCCAGCATTTCAGATCACATAACATACCTGGGATTATTTAGCAAACTAAATAAACCATAATTTATTTTTCATATCCTGACAGTGATATTAAGCCACTAGGCCACAGCAAATAGCAATGCTTCCCTCTACCCACCCCAAATTTCACATTAAAAAAACTTCCAACTGCAGCAGCTTTGACAGGCACCTTCAGAAATATCAAAACTGGGGTCAAAAGAACATTTTAAAATCACAGAAGCAGCTGTGGGACTAGTGAGGGTGCACTCACCACCCAGCTATCCAGAAGACAGGTTCTTTCTTTCTGAGTTGCTGCTAAGGAACCAGAGGCACCTGCCAGACCTTTGGGCAGCAGCAGCAGATATAGAAGACACGAAAGCAAACTGAACACTAGGTAGTAATTAAAAGAGGGGAAAACTACCACAAGGGACAGAGGCTAGAAAATGAGTAGCACAGGAAAGAATGGAGGCCAAATAATAAGCATTACTGCCAGGATTTCAGACATGCTTTTATAAGTGTTTCTAAGAGGAAGATCAAAATGCCAGTATTTTGAAGGCAAATGGCACTCCTGAAACTCAGTAGTGGCCATGTTCCAGCATCTCTCTTTCCTAAAGGTACTACAGACTTTATAGAGCAAAAGTGTTATAAATTCACTGAGGTTCACCATTTTGGCAGACCTTAAAGGAAAAAATAAATAGGTTCTAAAGTTGGGAGGGGGTGGGAAAGAGAGATTTGGCATTCTGAAAGAAAAACTTGTACCATTCAATTCCTTCTAGGAATTGAATTCATGACCCTGATCTTTCTAAATGATTTAATGTACAGTTTGTGAAATAGACCAGCAGACATAAAAGCTGGTCCTGTTTCTTTCTCCATCATTAAATGAGAAAAATATCAGAAACCAACCTTAAACCTTTCATTCTTTTGGGAAACGGGCTGATAAACATCTGGCATTTTGTGTTCTGAAACATAAAAGAACACTAAAACAGTAAAAAGAAACAGTTCCTCCTCAATTCCCAGGTGTCATCCTCAAACTATAAAATAAGGTATATTGCAACAATTTCCTCAGTCACACTTCTTGTCCTAATGCAGTAGGTAAGGTGCAACTAAGGGCCTGTGTCAGCCAGAACCAGTATGCATCAGTGTGGCTTCTGCAAGCACCTTTCCTATACTGGCATGACCAGGTTTGTAGTCCATTTCCAAACAGATCTGGCCTTTCACCAAGTCATTCTACTGTCCACATTGAAACTGATTTCCCACATTTCCCAAGTTACTTAGCAAAAAAACAAAGAAAGACAACCAACACCCAAAAACACTCTTGAGGAAGCAGGGGTGAGAACACTGGAAGATGACACAGTAAAAAACCAACACAATTATGTCACAAAATAATAAATTTGTGACAACAGTTGATGAATGATTATTTGGCTGGCACTGTTTACCATAAGGCAGTCTCAGAAAGAAGAAAGGGTGACGAGAAGGTTGCTGCAGAAGATAAGAAAGGCATCGATGCTTAAGCAAGAATAAAAGAATCCTCTCAACTCCCCCAGACATGAATCCTTGAGGATGATTTGGAAGAGTCAGCAAAGCCCCCAGACTGGTGTCCTGAAGTTGAACTCTCTCATGTGTAAACCACAGCTCCTAGCTAGAAAAAGCCCTCTATCCAAATAAGCCCCTTACCCTCTGAGCAGGCACAGTACATTTAAGATGCACTAATCAGTATAAATGCTACCTGGCTGTAACCAGGGACATGAGCTGTGCAAGTTATCACCTAGCACCTTTTCTGGGCAGATCTGGAATAAAATACCTCGACTCTGTGTGTTTCAGCTCTTCACACAACGGGTGAAGAACCCGGATTTGGGACAACACAATGGCAGCAGGTAGATGAGATTGAAAAACAAGAAACTCAAGATGCTCTTTCACCCAACATCCAGATATGAGAAGTTCCTTTGTTTATGTACTCTGAGGCACAATTGCTTTATTTTCACTGAACACTGCTTCGTTATTGACCTTTGTGTGTATTAACTCCAAACTTCCCCTGAAGTTTTACAAGGCACTTGTAAAGACCCAGTCTCCATCAACAGAATAGGTGGTCACAAACGAGCCATTTGCAGAGATTCACTGCACTTTTAAAAATGTTTGATTCAAAATAATGAAAATTATTTGAGAATTTAAAAGTCTCACCAGATGTCTTCTTGAAAAATCTACTGTTGCAGTGATTCAGGGTGTCTTTTGCCTCAGTGACAATCATTAGCTGAGTCAAGAGAAGGAATGAATAGTTTTGCATCTGACTAGTCAGCTACTAATGAAGAACCCCACATACCCTTCTGACTACCTGGCTACAGGTGGGAGGACCTATGACAAAGGGCCGACAGAAAGCAGCAGGTCACTGCATTTATTTATTCCATCACCACAACTTGAAGCTCTGCCTCACCTATGCTATGCCCTAAATCCATGCATTAGAAATGTTTATGCTGCTGGAAGTGCAGGACTCCTGACCACCAAATCTCAGACACACGCAGCCACCAAGCAACTCATGCAAAGCTAAAGTGGCAATATCCCATGGTTACATCCTCAGCCCGAAGACAGAAATGCCCATTTGTAAACTTTCTTTTGGATTGTACAATTTGGTTTCCACGTGAGCAGTAATTTTCACAAACTGCACTGCAGAAGTGCTTTGGTTTTATCACATAACAATAGCATACTTTGCACTTCACAGATAAAAATACTACCAAGTCCTTAGACTCCAGCTGGATTTTAAAATACAAACAACATAAATCAACAAATCACACAGCAGGACCTTTGGACTGTTAATTTGTTAATAATTTTTAAAGTATTACTTTAATAAATAGTTTTATTAATATTTCTACTACTAAATAATTTCCCAATTACAAATTTTGTTATTTTAATTATTAACAAATAACTTTGTATCTAAGGAGAGTCAAGAAAAAAAGCCAAGGTCAGCTACCAAGTGTGACATGATAAGCTATAAAACATAATTGCAGTTTAAAACCAACCAAACCAAACCACAAGCCCCTCCCCCCCAGGACTGAAAAGACTAAAGAAGATTTCAGTCGCTGTTGAAGGCCAGGACATGCCAACACCTACAGTACATTCATCCTATGTATTCTGCTTCCTGAGGGACCTGCTAGGTTTCCTACAACACGCAACACTGCTGTGGTTCTCTGTTCCCAGTGGAAAACACATTTGCTCCTTTAACTGGAAGACACACTTGCCTAACAAAGGAAGAAAACTATTTAAATCATCAGGACAAGAGAGTCACCGAGGTAATATTTTTTAGTCTTATTTCATACCCTGTGGTTGAGATTCCACACAAATGTAAAGTATGTTAGTAGTGTCGCTTTTAAATAATCATCAACAATTCAAACTAAGTATTCCTGACCTCAGATAAGAAAGGCCACACAAATACCCCAAAAAAGTCCCAAACAAAAAAACAAAACAAAAACCTCTTCCAGCTCTTGTATTCTAATTTTTCTTCTTCTTACTAAAGTAATAACAAATGAATAGACAAATTGCTCCACAGTAGTTCATAAAAATTAAACACGCTAATGCACTAAGATGTTTAACACAAGTTAGCTGTTGAGTTTATGAAATCAGTAAAGACAAGGTTATTTCCTTTCTTCCTTTTACAGTAAGGCCATTCAAGTTGTACATTAAACATGTGTCACGAACCGGTAACAAAGGTCCCTGTTCCACACACCATGATACCTGATTAACTGCACAAACTGGTAAAATTTCAAGGACACAGTTTATTTTAGCAAACCATTCCTGTCTTTTGTTAGCAACTTTTTTGCTTCTATCAATTCAGTTAAAGCATTTTTATAAATGCAGGCTGAATTTGTCAAAATTGACTGCTTTGTGCATAAAGACTGGAGAACTCATGTGCACACAACACACTCTTTAGCCTGGAAATTCAGATGGGCACAGCACCATCAGCAGCAAGGCAGACATCACCTCCTCCACAGGCTTCTACAGAAGAAACACCAGCACTTATTTAACAGTTAATTCACATAACCTTGCTTTCAGAGAACTTACATTTTTTTGCAGTGTGGGCATTTTGCTAGTGTGTTAAACCTCAGTTCCATCCACTGTAAAAACAAAACAAAACAAAACAAAAAGTTTGAAAAACTGGCCTGAGAAAATGTTTGTTGTACTTCATGCTAAGTGTCACTGTGAAATATTTTGCTTCTCAGGCTTTCTTTGACATTTTTTTTTTTGCTTTCTTCCATAAATGGGTTGCCCTTTTGTCAGTGGCAACATAGAATTGGGATTTCCATGTGAGCATTTCCCATGACTTGCCTTAATATTACAAGATTTACTTGACATAATGTAGTTTCATCCAAAGGCACAGTTCAGGCAACATTAATAATATTAATACTTTTCTTTGTTTCTCTTCCCTAACTATGAACATATCCCGAATCAAAATGAAAGTGTTTTCTTTGGCAGATTTACAGATCAATCCATTTTCCCATCTTTCCCCAGTTCTTGCATCATTTGTGAAAACCAAGTGTACACAGAACAATCAGCTACAGAATATTTTTGAAAGTAGATGTCTTTCTAAGTTTTATATCAATAAAATAGAGAACACTATAGGCTACGCACATGACATTTAAAAACGCTGATATATAAAACAATATATAGCATGGTCATAACCTTTCATGCAGACTAAAACCTATCTCAGAAACAGCCTTAGCAAAAGTAATGCCTAGAATGACATCAACCAGAGGATACACACTCATGTAGCCGTTTAAAACCAGCAGGTTTTATTAAATTTCTGTGACAACAGAAGTATTAAAACACTTTAAACACGTTTGCCCTGTAAGCAGTTACAATAACGGCAGCTCTCTTCTGCTGCCTTTCTCAACTAGAGAGAACTAGGACAGTTTCCTGATTAAATATCATTCTCTTCTCCCCTCCCTTCTTCATTTGTACCAAAATCACACTGCAAGTTGCTAGCAGTGGAAGAAGCCACAGCACAGATCACCAGTGCCTCCATTTGGTTCCTCCTTATCTCTCCGAGAAATCAGAAACTGGTCTACTGATGTGAGTGGTGGTGGTAAAACTGCCACAAAACCAAATCAAAATCAGAGCCCATCCTTGTATGGGAAACAGGACCTGGCTACAGCACCATCTGAACACTGAGAATGAATTTAGGATTTTATGTGCAAAGAAAGAGGATGCAGCTTGTACCGCCTTGCCTGCATGAGCAGGTTTGGCTTAAAATGAAAGCTTCTGTAATACTCCCTACCTGAGCAATGCATTTTAAAGGCATTTTCCACATTCCTACCAGACGAGCAAGCTGGCCATTTGCCTGCATCCCTGTCAAGAACTACTCAGTTTTCCTTAGGTCTACAAAAGTGGGATAAAGAGTGGTTGTCAGTACCAGGATGGAGAAGGCCTCTTCAGAGCTGTTCTTTCAGATTTTTCAGCTGCAATTCCAGAAACAGAAGCAAATCTAAATCCAGGTCTTACATTTTATCTATTTGTAACTATTTACTTTCTGTACAGTAATTTTATTCCAGAGCAGACAACTCCATTTCCAAAATTACTCGTTAAATTATCTTTCTAGGGTTTTACTTATTTTAAGGTTTCTGATTATTATCCATAATTATTAATGGATACAAACTCAAATGCACTTGGGCTCTAAATATTGATGGGAACAAAAAAACAGAGGCATTCATAGTGTGTTTTCGTTGAGTAACCTGGAAGTAAGAGAAGCACCAACTGCTATGATGCCTTCTGCACATACCACAAATATTTGCAGAAAAAAAAAAAAAAAACCACACCAAAATGACACTACAAAAAAATGGAACAAGACATTCAAACTATAAGAATTCAGATATTAGCACAGTAAAGAAAAGTTATTTTCATGGACATGCTAATTCTTGGAGTTTTCATGGGTTTAACAAGTAGTTTAAATCACAAGTAAATTTGGTATTTTTACTTGTATTCCAGAGTGCTTTGAAGTACCTAATCTTGTTTCATGTTGTTAAGAAATCTTGAGGTTAAAGTTAAGTGAAATTTAACTCCTTGCTGACGATAGAAACTGTATTTTTCCCATTGAAACAATACAAGGAACAAGAACCCAAATCTCTGGTTAGATGTATGGAAACACAGATGAGGATTTGGGAGACCTCATAAATGTTTCAACTGTGAACAAAACCAGACATCCATCAAGGGACTGACTAGAAGAGTATGTCAAATTTTCTTCCTTCTGAGCCCAAAATAGTTCTCAATGCATTCAATGCAAGACAGATTAAAAAAAGACATATGTATATATGTATGCACACATCCCTACATACAGCTGCTTCTGCCAAAAAAAGCTTCCCCTCCCCTCCTCTCAGGACTTCTGGGAAAGCAAAATACTTCTGTAGATTAAAACACTTAAAAAAATTTCTAAAGAATTTAAAATGTTTTCTATTCAATCATTTTAGAAGAAATACTTCTAATATTTTATTAGTTTAAAAAAAGTAACATTATCAGAGCACAACTAATAAGCCAGAGTGTTTAGCCTACAGTCTGTGGTTTACACAGCTTGCTTCTGGCTTCCTGTCCTTGAGGGTCTCTCTGACAGCAGGACAACAGCAGGAGGATGGAGGAGCACACAGGGACACCTTTCCCCTACCTGTCACCACTTCCAGAGGCAACTCAGCCTCTGAGAGCCTCAAATCATCATAGGCAGAGGCCCCTGGGAGACCAGCTGTGGGGAATGAATGATTTACTGCTGGCAAAAAGAGTAACCCCAGCCACAGCCCATGTCCAGAAGCTCTCATGAAAGCCCAAACCAGATCAGTTTGTGATGCAGCAGAACACTTAAACCCTCATCCTGCCCTTATTTTCTATTCTACCACTTTTTTTTTTTTCCACTGGACTGCACTCCAGATCTGCCAGAAACAGTGGAAAATTAACATAGAAGAGAGACTCCTACCAGGTTACCCAAGGAAAAAAATCTGATGAAAAAAAATGAATAACTAGTGATAGTTCAGCTACCGTATCACTTTAGTACCAAATCATTCTCCCAGCTGAGACAGAGAAACTTGAAGGCACTCTACAGCATGGAGCATGCTTTTAATAATTTATAAAGAACACCTCCCACACAGAGGCAGGGAAAGCACAGCCCACATTTATGCTTTCGGACAGCAGACAAAAAAATTCTTGGAAAGGTGGTGAACAAGTTCATACTCTTAAAAGAACACAAAACAAGAAACTGACAGTTTCACCCTAGGGATTCTAGCTTTGCTTGTCTATTTTATTTCTTTTTTTAACCACCACTTAAAGTAAAGGAGATACCTTACTGAAAGATGCATCTGGCATTACATATTTTTTTTTTTTTTTTTTTTTTTTTTTTTTGCTTCTCTGGTCACTCTCAAACCCAAGTAATCTCCTGATTTTTCTTAACTAAAAAATTCATTTGCAGAATCTTAAAATTAGTAACAGAAAAACACAGAAGCAAAAGTAGTGGAAAAGCTGTATAAAATGAGCAGAAAGGGTTTGTTTCTTGACAACTCAGTATAAAATAATACAAGCTTTGAATTTCTAATGATTTTGAGGTTTTCTTTTTGTCGTACCATGAAGTGGTAAATTGGTCTTACTGGCAGATAAGACTGTGAAGGTCAAAGTGATGGGAGTTCCCTAAAGCAACCATCAGACCTGAAGTCACAAGTATAAATTTTAAATCAGAAAACTTACCCTTTTAAGGCCTAAAACTACTCATTATGGGCAAAACCAGCCAGTTCATAGTGTAAGCTACAGAATTAGTTTGGGCTGCACTTAAAGAAAGCAGATAGAGGATAAATAAAACTCCCATGCTTATGAAAGACCCCAGAGATAGGCCAATAATTTAATAATGAGAATTTTACTTCATAACACTGACTCTCTCAAGTAATAAAAAAGAAAAAACAACATTAAATGACATTGCAGAGATGGTCTTTTATGTTAAGAGACCACATTAAAAACTTAATACTGTAACTCTTGTAGAGCACTACTTTTGCCTGTGCAGCTTTAAAGTTTTGCTAAAAACATAACTGCATTACAAAATTGAACTATGACTCTGTATCAAACTACAGTGTTCATGCAGGTACTCAACTGTTTGTAACATGGTCCTATATTTAAAAACAGAGCTAAAAGAAAAGACAACGTTTTAATAAAAGTTTCCTGGCTTGGAATATGTACTTTAGATAGCCTTTTTCTTCTGTAGATCCAGTAGACTTCTGTTACTAATATTATTCAATATTGCATACAATGTTCTTACTAGTTAAGGTCACATATAGACTTGCATTTTAAAGAAAGCAAACAGAAAATCCACTCCAGCTATCTCCAGTTACAGACTGCTGTCCTTCAGCAGGGGTTATAGTATGAATATCTATATTTTTAATATAGGCAGAAATAGTAAATAGAATATTTCTCAAGCATCTCTCTAATGGCTTCTCAGATACTACATTGCTTGTATACTTGTAATTAAAGACCCTGGTTCCCCTTTAAAAAAAGGGTAAGTGCCATGTCCCGCTCCCTACACTCATCATCTGCCACAGTCATTAAGCCACTATTGCATATCTCACTGATCAAGAAACCTGAAGAAAAGATTTGAAGGAACAGGCCCACTCCATTATAGAGTCCATCAGAAGGGAACCTTTCTCTCGCTGCTGGTACAAGCAGGCATGGAGTGCCATCCCCTGTGCTTCCTTTCCACTTCACAAAATGCACTTGAGTATTCTCTGGCCTTTATGTTTCAGGAACGTAACACCAGTCTGGTGACTGTTCAGGTCCTTCAGCTGCAGCACTTGGCCATTTCCCAGAAGTCACAAACGTGACAAACATTTAAGCACTGCTAGATGATGAAGTTAAAGCTAACTTGTGTATTGCAGAAACTTCCTAAATCAAAAATGAAGTATGGCAGTCCTTTACCCATGTAAAAGGCCGCAAACAGTTCAACAGCAAGAGTACACCTGGATCCTTCCAAACGAAAAACAAGGTCAACTGACAGTCTTGCATGTAAACCAGAACCTCTCGTTCTGTAAGAACTGACTGATATGCTAATGGCAGGTGCTGTAAGGAACAGCTTTCAGGGTCTGTACAGCAACAGCAGAACTGCTCTTGGCCACTGCAGAACATCACCATCACTGCAAGTCTGAGCAGAACCTGGAGGCGTAACTTCCTTTTCCAGCACCGTCCACTTGCACACCACTGAGCAGTGAGACTGACTCTGGGCTTTCACCATGAATGTACAGAAAGACTGCTAAAAGTTTTCTGCAAATTCATGTAAAAATTACCAAATACAGACTGTACATCCATAGCAATGAGCACAGAAGCAGCCTTAGTTCCTCAATGATGCCGCAGAACGAGGCAATACGCTCTCAGAAGTGCTTACAACAAACAGACTGAGGGATAGCACGGTGAGGCCAGAAGAAGAGTCTTCTGCTTTACTTACAAGGAACGTATTTCCACAGTGCCCACATACCACTCTAGTTCCATCTGGCTGGACTGGCAGGGCAGGCTGAGCGGGCTGTTCTTCTGGGATCAGCATGACGGGACCCAGAGTGATGATGCGTCTACTGTGTTAAGAACATTATATGTACATGTCATTAAGCTAGCAAAAGAGAAGGACAATGTGTTTAAGCAATTAACTCAGTCACTAGGAAATATTTCACACTTTTAAAATATAATCTGCTTTTTAAATAGATAATGTACCCAGTTTTGGCAGTTCTGAAATTCCCTATAAGATCAGCCAGAACCCCATGGAGATCAAAGACTTGCCATGATAAGGCAGAAATACTCCTTCGGAAAATGAAATCTTAATATTCAGGCTGAACAAGCCCATGAATTGGAATGCACATACCCATGTGAAACATGCAGAAAGAGCAAGGACTCTTCCATAACTTAGTTCTTCTCAAGTCAGATACTTCTTCCCACATTACTGATAACCAAATTAATATAAGCAGCATATCCACATTAGTACATCAAGAATTCAATTCAAATTGAGTGAACAAAAACAGAAAACTACCCCGGGTTGACCAAATGCAATCACTTTAAAAAAAAAAAAGTTTGTATTTGCTTTTATGTTCAATGTGTTTCAAATTTAATTGTAAAATCTGTCAATCCAAAATGACAGTAACCAAATTAACCAACTCAAAGCAGAATGAGCAGCAGACTTCCTAGCATGAAAAAAAATTAAGGGAAAAACTAAAGTATTATTTAACTTACACAGAACCTCTCTCTCCATACACAGCAAAAATTGCATTCTGGATGACTTCCCTATTTCAATCTGGAGCCTTTCCACTTAGGCCACACTCCCTAATGTCCTTCCTTCAAAGTACCCCAGTTTTGCTCACCTTCTAGTGAGAAAAATACATAGGGTATCTTGAGGAAACTGCTAAGATATAGACTTCTGGGCTTATTTTAATAAAATCAGGCAGTTTCAGATTCTGCTTGGTTACCAACCATATGATGTATTAAAATTGAAGTATCCCATGAACATTTTTTTTCCACTCTCAGAAAATATTTGGAATGTTCTGGAGTTTTCCCCAACACTGTATTAGTTAAAAAAAAAAAAAAAAAATAGTTCCCTCTAAGTCTGAAAATATGTTTCAAAACCAGAATAGCCAACAGACTGGTGACTAGGGCACTTGGTGTGGTAGAACTCCCATTCATGTGTCCACAGACCTCACATTCATCTCAATTTTGCCTGTTAGAGCTACACCTCTGGCAATCAAGTTGCTCCTACCTCCAGCAGGATCTTTAACACCCTAAGCCCAATGTTAAGACACTCCCCATGGCAATGGCACCTGTTCGTTTTATAAAATGTGTGTAAGCTGAAGGGGAGAACTGAGAGAAGACTGAAAACTCGGCGTAACAAAAGACAGGACTAAGGCAAACCTGCTGCTCCCTCTCCCATTTCATCCCAAAGTCCCCACGCTGAACAAGGCAAAGTGAGCAACTTGTGTGTCTACGATAATTAAGTTTGCAAGAAATTATGAATGTTAAGTCCCAGAAACAAGAAGTGTTTTTTCTTTCAATGTGGTTCTTTACACCATTTGTTCCTTATGAAGTAGCTAAAATGGGAAACACAGATTTAAGACTACTGCTAAATAAATAAAAAAAAGTTTTCTTCTTTCATCTTAAAAAAGAAATACATCAAAGCTGACACGAGCACAACCTGCATCTGCACTAATTCAGTAATGCTCCACAAGTGTACACGTACAGAGGCCCAGCCTTGAACCTCTTTTAAATATTTGACACAAAAAGCACCATTGTTTTAAAGAAAGTTACCTCAAGGCACTTACAGTTTTTTATTCTTACCAGTTTGGTCTTGGACAGCCTATTTTCCGAGACGTATCCTTACAGATAAGGAGACAATTACACTGACATCTAACATACTTCTTCCCTGAAGGAGGATTTTTGATTGGCTAAACAAAAAAAAAAAAAACACCAGAGAACACAAATCAGAAATCAGAGCAATTCACTTTTTTCCTTGTAACAGTATGACAAAGCAGAACAACTTCAGTGACAAGTTCTTGCTAACAGAGAAGTACAGTTCCTCTTACAGAGGAAACTGGAGTCAAGACAAAATCACAAGTTTTCTCTCTCTCTATTCCTAGAGAAAGACGGGCAAATCTCCTCACTAGAACACAGAGATTCTGCAAACTAACAAAAGTTTTAGCAATGAAGAACTCAAGACTTCAGTTTAGTTGTTCTTTTAAATGTGAGCTTAAGTAGTGGTATATTTTTTTAAAAAGAGTCAAAAAAGGAAACAAGGCTCCTTGCCTGGTACAATAGCTTTATTCAACAGTGAAAGGATTGCAGTTTGGTTCTCAGTCACCAAGAGTCTAAGTAGACATCACCAAACTGTAAAGTTATTTTAAACTGTACTGAAATTATCTGTCTCCAACTTGGGAGTCGAGTTTCTAGGTCTTTTTCTACAGCAAATCAAAAGCTGCAAGATACTTTGTTTGGCTTGAAACATTATATATTGGCA